CATGAGCACAAGACACCTCAAAGCCCGCCCCTACAGTAACACGCTTCCTCCAAGAAGACCATATGCACTCCAACAAAGCCACACCTCCTAATAGTGCCACCCCTTTGGAAGCTATTATCTACATTAGCAGAACAGGAGTAGGGAGATAGTTCAATGGAAAGGCCCTTGTCCTGCAAGCACGAGGCCTGGCAGTTAATCCCCAACACCACATACACAGCAGGTGTGCATGAACAACCTGCTTGTAATCTTAGTGCTTAGAGGCTGAGACAGGACCCTCAAGACAAGCTTAAAATTGGAAAGCTCTGGATTTAAATAAGAGTTCCTGCCTAAATATATAAGGTGGAAAGAAATTAAGAAAGACATCTGAAAATAAAAATAAAAAAGACACCTAACCTCAACCTTTTGTCTGAAAACACGCGTGAATATGCATACATGCATATATACGCATGCATACACATGCATGCATTCAACATACACAAAAAGAAAAACATATAGAAGAGAATATATTCATCCACAAGGCTGCCTTATGTTGTTGCCCTTCATGGCCACAACCTCTCCTTTCTACCAGCATGTTGCTCCTCAACTCCTAACAATTACTAGTATGTTATCTATTCCCAAACTTTGCCATTTGAAGAGTATTATACATATAGAATCATAGCTTTTTGAATAAGCTTCTACCCTTCACCCTGCATAATTCTCTACATGTATCAATAATTCATTCCTTCTTATTGCTTTGTGGTATACTATGTAATACATGTACTACCATTTAACTATTCACCTGCTAAAGGATATTCAAATTGATTCTAGTTTTTACCTATTAGATAAAACTGCTATGAATATTCATGTACAAGTCCTGCATGTCCCTGTCCTCATTTCTTGAGTATAAATATCAAGGCTGCAACTGCTATATTACATAGTATTTACATGCTTAGATTTTTTTTTAAACAAACTACTACTTTGTTTTCCAAAACATCCTATCCAAAACAAAATGTCCCTTACGACTCATATTCTTAATGCTTGGCTTCCAGCTGGGGGTTCTAGTTTTGGAGGCTGTGGAGGAGGCCAAGCCTCGCTGGAAGATAGAGATTGCTGAGGATAGATCCCTGGCCACTTCTCTGTTTTCTGAACCTTACCTGTTGTGAAATGGGATGTTCCATTAAGTCTTCCTGCCACTGGCAAGGGAAGTCATTTGGTCACTGAGACAGAAAAGTAACTAATAATAACACATGCATTCCCTTCCATATCTCACTACCAATGCAAACATAATACTTTCTTTGTAGTCCAGTCTGGTGCAGTTTCTTATTTCAGTCATTCTGAAAGGTATGGAGAAGCATCCTTTTAGAGACAGTGTCTCACTATATAGCCCTTTTGCCCGAATTTACTATATAGACCAGGCTGGCCCCAAACTCACAGAGATCCACCTGCCTCTGCTTCTACTTCTGCTGGGGATAAAGTTGTGCACTACTTGTATACTACTATCTTATTCTAATTTTAATTTGCATTTTGTAAGAGAAAAATTATGTTGAATATGCTTTATTGTGTGTATTTGCGATCTGTATCCTCGCTGCTGAAACGTCTGTTTATACCTTTTGCACATCTTCAAATATTACAAAACAAGTGGGCCACAATAATCCCGAGAAGGGAAAAGGGGGCTCATGGAATTCCCTGAGTTCAGAAAAACAGACACAAGAGTTCAGAGAAGGAAGGGAAGTCAGAATTTGCTGGGAACTACAGAGCTTCTTAATTAAATACTTCAGAGACATGCAGAGGGAACCTCACGTTTGTAGCTGAGTACTGACATGGGAAGAAACAAGATGCCACCAGGTGTCAGCAGTAAGGACATCCTAAACTTACACGTAGGTAAGAAGAGCTTGTTCTACTATCCAGAGGAGAAGACTTGTCAGAAACTGGGTTCAAACAAGGCTCACTAAGGCTAAACCAGCCCTCAAGTATATTCCAGAGCCAACCTCACAATGAGAACAAAACACAGGCTTTTGAAAAGATCAAAAGTTATAAGTCTGTGCAGTTGATCAGGAAAAGAGATGAGAGGAAGAAAAGATTATTAGTATCAGTACAGAGAAGTACACATTCCCGCTGGGTGGTGGTGGTGCATGCCTTTAATCCCAGCACTTGGGAGGCAGAGACAGGCAGATCTCTGTGAGTTTAAGGCCAGTCTACAAGAGCTAGTTCCAGGACAGGCTCCAGAGCTACAGAGAAACCCTGTCTCAAAAAAAAAAAAAAAAAAAAGTATACATTCCCCTGGTGTCACAGACAGTAAATAGGTAGGAAAGATTATGAACAATATTTTTTAACAAGACATTTGTATGAAGTATGCAAAACTTATAAAACTACTTTCAAAGCTTACTTAAAGTATTAAAGAAATTCAATTTACTCTTGCAAGTCTACACATGCACCTGCACACACATTCAAAAACACAAAAATCCCCCAGGCAGGCCCAGATAAACTCCACTAATGATTATGGATTAGCAGCACTTCAACACAAACTTCCAGAAAAGACTGCAACCCCAGTGCATGGCATTACTCTGAAATCAAGTCCAAAGACAGTATAGGATAAAAGAAAATCACTAGGAAGTAGTAGCCTTTATAAACACCAGCATTAAAAAATAATCTTTGCAAACAAATACAGAGACACACAGCCAGACATTATATGGAGAGGGAGTCCTTGGAACACACAGCTCTAAATGGGATGTCTCCATTCAATTCGTCCCCTCAGAGCTCAGGGAACCCCAAGGAGTTTGTGAACTAGTGGATCTTATGCCTTCCTTAGGGCTTTTTTCCTTCTGTTGCTTTGCCTTGTGCAACTCTGATGGGATGGTTTTTGTTTTATCTTATTATATTTTATTTTGTTATGTTTTATTGTTATCTCTTAGAAGCCTGTTGTTTTTAATGGGAGACGAAAAGGCAGTGGATCAGGAGGGGCAAGGAGGTGGGGGAAGGAAATGGAAGGAGTAGAGGGAGGGGAAACTGTAATCGGGATATATTGTATGAGAAAAGAATCTATTTTTAATAAAAGGGGGGAAAGCCTTTGAAAACTGAGTCTAGCCATATATTATCATGACAAAAATAGGTTTTAACACACATCATCATTATTCTATGATTTATCTTTTATTTTTTTCAGACAGTTATGAGCTGCCATGTGGGTGCTGGGAATTGAACCCGGGTCCTCTGGAAGAGCAGTCAGTGCTCTTAACCGCTGAGCCATCTCTCCAGCCCCCATCATTATTCTAGAACTAAAAAACCAACGCAGGGCTCTTTTCTTTAATTGTTGTGACATGTGTATGTATGTATATGATGTGCATTCCTAAACATATAAATACAACCTTCTCAATCTGTATGTTACCTGTATGTATGTATGATGTATGTATGTATGTATGTATGTTTTCAGGGCTGACATTTGGTATTGGATTAGCAATGAAGCGCAGTGGCAGAGCATGTGCCCACATGTGTAAAGCTCTAGGTTTCACACTTAGGAAAACACACACACACACACACACACACACACACAGAGTCAACTGATTTTCAACCAGTGTGCTAAATCAAATTAAAGGAGAGTGATATAATACTGAGATATGAAAAAGCAAATTTAAGTTCTGATGCCTACCATCTATAAAGATAAACTCAAGGGAGGGGTTGGAGGGAGGAAAGGAAAGGGAGAAAATGATGTAATTATACTTTAATTTCAAAAATGTTAAATAAAAATGATTCTCAAATAAGCCTAAATGCAAGCATTAAAGTCATATAATTTCTAGAGGAAAACATTTTGAATAAGGTAAAGATGTCTTAAACAGAACATATAAAAATATGAGTTAAAAGAAAAAAGAAAAATGTAACTTCATAAAAATTTAAGGCTTCTATTTGAAAGATGCTATTAAGGAAATAAAAAGGTGAGTTACAGTTTATGAGAAAATACATGTAAAATACCTAACTGGTAAAGTACTTGCATCCAAGATACATAAAAGCTCTTAGAACTGGGAATGGTGATGCACATATATAATCCCAGTACTAGGGATGCTGAGGCACAAGGATAATGCATTCATGACTAACTAGCCTGGGTGCTATACAGTGACTATAGCCCAGCCAGGGCTACTGTATCACAAAACTTTGTCTCAAAAAAGACCTCCGTACAATAAATAAATTATGTTGCAACTTAATAAAAACACATTCAAACCAATAATCAAAAATAATAATTAGAACAAGCTCTTCAACAAAGATATGCAGTTTGGAAATAAGCACATGAAAAAATGTTCAACATCATAAGTCAGTGGGAAAATACCACTGTAATCTCACAGAATGGCTAACATTTACAGAGACATTGTATTAGCAAGGATATGGGATAACTGACTCACAAGCTACTGGTGAAAATGTACAGCCACTTTAAAGCTAGCTTACAGTGTCTATAAATTTAAACATATATGGACTATAAACCCTGAAATCCCAGTCTTATATTGAAAGAGAAGCACAGTGTGTCCAAAAGAAGCCATGAGCAGCCTTGTGTGCAAACCTCACAGCAGCTCGGACCCCACAGTCCAAAGCCAAAAGAGCCCGGTGTTAATCAGCTAGTGAGTAGATGAACAAGCTGTGGTATATTTCTACAATACTCCAGCAACTTCAGAAAGAATGTGTGACACACTCAACAACACACACGACTCTCAAAAGCATTACTCTAAACAGAAGACACCCACTGCAGCGCATCTGCACTACAATCCATTGATACAGGAAAAGCCCAATTATTGGGGTGGAAAGCAGCTCAGGGGCTGCCAGAGGCAGGAGGGCAGGACTTTCTAGCACCATGAAACTGTTCTGAGTGTGATTACAACTGTAGATGTTTGCCAAACTTTCCAACTACACATTTATAAAAGGTAAACATTATAAAGTGAGAACAGAGATTTGTCATGCCTCAGTACCAGCTGATTTTTAAGGAAACTGGTAAGAAGTCTTTTCTGGGTGACAGCTAATAAAGAAGTAAGGGGGCATTTTACCTTCCCAGTCCTCCATGTAAGGGGCTTCCTCAGCTTCCTTCTCTGGAGTAGATGTGTCAATGAACTTGCCTTCTTTCATGACCCTCGTGATTTCTCGGAGCTGATGCAGTAATCGTTTCTCTTGGTCAGATGTCACAGTCTGTGCTCTGCTGAGAAACAACAGACAATCCAGCCATTTGGTGGTCAGCACTCCTAAGCAATGGGGGAAACTTCACCATGATCTGTTTGGATCCTCACAGAGGAGGTCTAACAGCAGGTGATTTTCTAGGATTGACTCTGGAATGTCATGGTTGGTGCCAGAGATGTTAGTTCCACATTGTGATCTTACAGACGGGAGTCTACTCTCCAGAGCACTTCAGTGACTGCGTGAGCCCATGACCACTGCGATGGAAACAAGGACCCCAGTGGTCTCAGCCCCCAGACTCTCAATTTCCCTCAAACTCTTACCTTATTCCCTTACTATGAGACACTTCTCTGAAGCAAGGATGTCAAAGAAAAATATTCTAGACCATTAGTCTCAACCACAGAAAAACACTGGACTGGAATCCGAAAGGCTTATTCTCAGAACACTCAATCATGTAGAGAGAGAAACTGACAACCTGAGATCCACAAACTGAAATTTACACATGGTGATTACAGTTCGTGCCTTTTCTTTTTCCATCTCTTCTTTCCCACTCCCTCTCCTCCCTTTCTTTTAGAACTCCGATAAGCAAATACTCTACCAATGAGCCAATACCCCCACCACAGTACTCAATTTCTAGTTTAGAAAACTGCACCTGACTGCCAACTTAGCTGTGGTTCTGGGCAAATACCTGCAAGAACGGCACCAGACCTGAGGGAAACAAGGCCCCAGAGAGGAAAACGCTGCATCACACAGAAAGGCAGGGTCCTGGACAGCAAACAGAAACCTGTTTTGAGGCCAGTTCATCTACTGGAGGAATTAAGAGAACTGCGCATTCTCTCCTTAAAGCCCCAAGCACCCAGTCAGAGCCGCAGGAGAAAACCACGCACCAGTTATGCAGGTGCCCATTCCTCTCTCTGCTCAGTGAGATCTGCACTGGGCTCCTCTCCGAGCTCACCTGACAGGAAAAACAGGCTTCTCCTTCAAACACTGAGTGCGTAACTGAGGAAAAGGGTGTGTCACTTCCACCCCCTCACTGGGAAGAAAACAAAATCAGCTCTGTTCTCCAACTTCCTCTAATGAAAATGACCCATTCTGTGGGAGAGTTCAGGGGTAGAGTAGGACAACCTGCCTGTGTTCACAAAGCTCTGGCTAGCAGGTTTACAGACTGTTTCTCTAACTGTACATGGAATAGTCTGACACTAAATGAAACAAAACTGAGCCTCTGTTCCTAACTTATGGAAAATGGAAACCTTTAAAGTAGAACAGATAAAATGACAAACTAAAACATCCTTTTAACTTTGAAAACATATGTCTGTCCGCCCATTAAACAGAGTCCAGGATACACATGTCACCTCTTCAGGATTTACTACAGTGCACGTTTTTATGGAATTCCTGCTATCTCAGCCTTGAAGCCCCCGCAGGGCAGTCAGACCGCTCGTGGCAGCACACACAGCCTACATATCCGTCTGGCTGGTCTCACTTACTCACCATTTGTTTGCCTCTGCCTCTGAATGTGGTCTTCACTCTGTCGTTTACCAAATCTTACAGAAATATCAGTGACTCTTTTACTCCTGAGTCCAGGGGTCTTTATCTTCCAGTTTGTTCTTTCCGATTCTTACCGTAGAGCATCCTTCCGAAACTTCCTGCTTTACAGAGCACACCTGCATCCTCCCACTTCTCTACTGCTTTACAGGAGCACAACTGCATCCTCCCACTTCTCTACTGCTTTACAGAGCACACCTGCATCCCTCCTACTTCTCTACTGCTTTACAGAGCACACCTGCATCCTCCCACTTCTCTACTGCTTTACAGAGCACACCTGCATCCTCCCACTTCTCTACTGCTCTACAGGAGCACACCTGCATCCTCCCACTTCTCAACTTTACAGTCACGATCCAGCATCACAGATTAAGTCATTACCTAAAGAGAAGATATCCGAACCCTATCTTTAGTCTTTACTTTTTACCCAGATGTCCCTGTTGTCCAGTTATTTCCTCAGCATCTCTACTTGGGGACTTGTCATCACACTAAGTTTCAAATTAGCCCTAAATTCAGTCCCTCAAAACCGAGGCCCACAAGAAGCTACATGAACAAGCAGAACAGAATAACAGGTTATCTATGGCAGATTCCAAAATATTAAAAAAAAATAAGGTCACAGGTGATTAAATAATGTTACTTGACTTTTAATCAAAGGAATCATCAAGTCCAAATCTAAGAGTTAAATACGGATAGAACAAAGCAGAAAGGAAAGACCAAGGCTAACACCAGAATATAATGGTCTCAAAGATTTGGTGATCTCATCTTTCACCATGACCTTGATCGTATCCCCAACAGCACATAGTCCTGTAGCTATTATATATTATATGTGGCTATTATGACAGCATCTCAATCATATTCAAAGTTCAGTCCATGTTATCTCAAAATCCTCATCTTCTTTCTCTTCTTGCGTGTTTAATCTTAGTTAATGCCAGAATCTCCCAAGAAGTACTATAGATCTTCAGGGATCTTTGTATCTTTCCATTCCTTCCACGTTATTACTTAGTTGGTTTCCTATGGGGGCACAGTCTCTCTTTTGCTCACACTATAGGTTAGGGTACAGCCATTCATCCCTTTACCTTCCTTTGACAGTGGTCAAGTGGCAGTCTTCCTATTCCATCTTCCTGTCTGTCGTGATTGGTTCATTTAATGTTGCTTGACCTAGATTGAACCAACTGAGTGGAGGACAATGCCTCAGCAAAGGAAAATAGATTTGCAAGGTCCTAGATGCAAAGATGTTTTGGGGGGTGGGGGAAGGAGTAGTTACGTGGGTTGTGAGGAGGGTGGGGCATGTACAAGAGAGCATGTGACGGAGGTTGGCGAGGCCAGGGCACTCAGGAGTAGGCTCTTTCTAACCAGAGCTTTCTCAGGCTACACCATGTTTCTAGAATATGTCATTTCTGACCAGACACTCTACTCTTGGAAGGAAACCTTGCTAATTCTAAAGGCGAAATAAGAACATCTCACCTTGCTTCCTTAACTGTGTCTCTGAGTTTGATACTATGTTTAAAATCAGACATAACATAGAGGTCACTGCACATGTACAGATCTATACCCCTGAGGTAAAAGGTGCCTCAAAAATTTATGAACCACATCAGGAACCCTTTTCATGCTTCTAGTCATACATAGATATATGAAGGTACAGTTTCAGGATTGACTATTTCTCAGTTTCAGGCCAACATCTTGCAGTCAGGAACACTATGGAAAGTATGCAGTATACCATACAAAAAATTAGAGCTGTAAGCAAGCTTGTGCTTCTTGTCTTAAATCCTTTCCTTGCCCCAGAAGTCAAGATGTCATCAAAATCATCTAACAGAAAACACTGGAGCACCCACAGTTCTTCTGATAATCACAAATGCTAGAACTACAGAGGCAGGCACAGAAGGAAACCTGGTGCACATCTCACCCTGCATAGGAACCTATTCAAACGGATCAAAGGACAGGATGAAAACAGAGTCCACACAAGTCTGTAAGGCCCAGCCCACCCAGGACTAGGTAGGTCATGCTAAGTTCTGCAACTCTTAGCTTGCTAGAGGAAAGCAGGTGAAACACTTCAAGATCTAGGCACAGGATTTTTATTTCAGGGATCCAAATAGCATAGGAAACTCCTTAAGAACTGAAATAGGACTATGTGAAATTAAAAAGCTACTGCACTGCAAAGGAAACGATCACCAGAGTGAAGGATGCCTGCAGAAACGGTACAGGATCCTACTGGCTACACATCAGACAGGGGACTAAGATCATAGAATAGATAAAGAACAGAAAATTAAAAAATCTAATCATACAAACAATAAAAAGCCTACTGAACTGAATGTACAGTTCTCAAAAGAAGAAACACAGATGCCAATAAGTGCTTTTAAAAGTGCTTAGCATCCTTAGCCACCAGGGAATGTGCTTTCATGGAAGTACTACAGGTAACACTTTACACGTCTGCTGCTTTGCAGGCTGGAATTGAGATGTCCTCAAGCAGTCTACACCTCAGCCTCTTGTAAAGAAGAAGACATTATAGAGGCTCCCCGGGAACAAGGAGATGGCGCAACTCTAGCTGCAGCAGCACAGGGACACCTTCCTCTGGCTCTGCACATACAGCACAAAGAAGACAGAAGGTAGTTAGGAGCTACAGTACTGAATTCCTGTGAGGCCAATGGAGAGATGGTACATGTTGGACAGCTGACGGGTCATCTAACTTGAGTCTGAGTAATGGTGGGTAATGATGAATATCTTCACATGGTTCTTTAACCCTGGGGTTAGATCTCCCAAGTAAGGGACTCTAACTATAGAATATTCATCTATGGAGTTTATGACTCTTAGACTTGCTTGGGGCAGTCAACAGCACAGACTAATAAGGTACAGATATTAATTTGAGGCATAAGAGCCTATAAAAGTCAGGGTAGTTCTCCACCCAGACAGGAAAGTCACATACATTTGTACATTAGATAATGTCTACAAAAGCAATTAGCTCAGAACAGTCTTTAGCAAGTTTAGTGAACCTTTATATACACACACAAGTACAGTCATGTATATATGTGACTTCAGAAAACATTTTAGGTTTTAAGCCTTTCTGAACTGCAAGGAGGTCAAAGTTCCTGATATAGACAGGCAATGTTCCAGTGTTTATCCTCATGAATAGCATTTCAATAGCACAGGAGATAATATAAGGAAATGTCAGGCCATGAAGCTGCAGTGTGAGGATGCCTACTCATCTTTCTTTTCTCTCTTTTTTGAGACAGAATTTCACTGTTAGCCCTGGAACTTGTAGACCTGGCTGGCCTTGAACTCGGAGACCCACCTGCCTCCGCCTCCCAAGTGCTAGGACTAAAGGCGTGCCACCGTTGTCTACTCTTCTAATATGCAACCAGGGATAGGCAAACTAGATGTCAGGGAGCAGAGGAGGAGACACAGAGAAGAAGTACTTGAAAGATGGCAAATATAAGAGGTCAATGCCTGTTCCTTGCATCAAAGACTCTATAACTGTGGACAACTGTGGGAGAGACTGTTCACTATCCCGCATGAGATTGTTATGGCCCACCGTGAAGTTCTCCCTCCTTTCCTGTTAGAAAGTTCAGCTTAGATTCTCTGTCTTGGTACACAGTATCCACAGTATCACATTCTGGCTTTTCCTTCCTGGTTTTGTCTTTTAAGTTGTTCCCATTTTCATAAACCTCTTGCCCCTTCTTTTTCAGATCCTTGGCCAGTGTGGCAGAGCAGATATGTTCCTTCCTAAGTGTTTGCCTGAATATATGTCTGTGCACTACATATGTGCAGTGTCCAGGGAGGCAAGAGGAGAGCAATGGATCCCCTCCCCTGGAACTGGAGCTACAGACAGTGTAGCTGCCATGTGGGTGCTGTGAACTGAACCCAGGTCTCTGGAAGAGCAGCTGTGCTCTTAACCACTGCATCATCTCTTGTTCATTGGTTTTTCGTTTTTCAATTTGGTCTCAGAAAATATAACATACAATAACCAGATTTTACTTAATATTTTACATTAGACAACTAGGGAAAGATACTTCTTAAAACTAGGTTATTTGATCCTACATGATTTACAAATTTCAAACTCTCACAATAATTCGTACCACATTTAATACTTGAAAATAGGTTTCTCAATAATATGAAACTGGATGTCAACTGAGAAAGAATACATATATTACACCTAACCTGACAATTACATAAGACAAAACCATGTAAGACTTACATGTCTATACATCAAAAGCAAAAAGATACTCATGAAATTATCTGAGTCCTATTTGATGAAAATTTACCTCTTGAGCCAGGTATGGTGGCGCATGCCTTTAATCCCTGCACTCGGAAGGCAGAAGCAGACAGATTTCTGTGAGTTTGAGGTCAGCCTGGTCCACAGAGTGAGTTCCAGGACAGTCAAAAGTACATAGTGAAACCCTGTCTCATAAAGAAAAAAAAAAAGTTTTGGATGTGGAATCACATGTCTTTAATTACAGAACCTGGGAGGCAGAAGCAGGAGGATCTTTGAGTTCGAGGCCAGCGTGGTCTGCTGAGTGTCCAGGATAGCCAGGGCTACACAGAGAAACACAGTCTCAAAAACCAAAAACAAAGAAAAAGAGAACCTTTACCTGATGAGCCATCACACTGCCCCATTTCTTTCACCCAGGAGGTAAAGACAGTGAATTTGAGGCCAGCCTAGTCTAGTCCTAGGACAGCCAAGGCAACACAAAGAAATCCTGTCTCAAAAGTGAGCAAGCAAACAAACAAAAAAGAACTTACCTCTCACCATTAGGTCCCACTCTATTGATTAATTTTTCCATGGCTTCTTCTGTCTCTTTTAGTTTTTCTTGCAGTTGAACAAGCTCATAATTGGCTGAAAAACAAGCATCAATCTAAGAACCATCATATGCCATTCCCTAAACCCTTTCAAGAAACGGCTAGCTGAGATGATCTGTGATAATCCAGGCTTCTTCAGAGACTCAGGAGAATAGACGTGAGCTTCTCTAACTAATACAACCAGCACAGAAAAGGCTTGGAGGTCTGGCCACGAGGATCAACAGGATACTCACTTAGGGAATGATAAATAAATCACTCCTTCTTCCACACAGAATTCAACAGAGCCAACTAAAGAAAACATCCAACACTGAAAACACCCTGCAAAGTCGCCCCGGCGTAAATGCAGAAGGTGGATGACAGCTTGTGATCCACACAGTGCCCCTGGGTAAGGTGCCAAGCCTAGAGAGTACTAGAAAAAAGGATCAGGACTCTGAGGTGAGCCCTGTTTGCCGTATTTATGGTTTGGAATTAATAGTTTCATTGCTATATTTCTTCAGTAGGAAATCCTGAATTATGGTTGAGACCTCCTTGCTCAAAGTTTTCTGACCCTAATTGTCTAGAATAAAAAATAGACCATGCTAGGGTATCCAGAATTGCAGTTTTCTCAGACAGGGTCAGTAGAATGTAGACAATACAGACACACACACACACACACACACACACACACAGAGAACGCAACAGCACAACAGCAAAAAAAAAAATATTCAAAACCATGAGGTGCACTTTCAGGCAGTAAGAAAACTAAATGTCCCTCAGCATATGAACACCTAGACTTCTATTTCACACCTTTCCTGTGTATACCTGCTGCCTTCAAATTTACTCTATAGAGCAGCCTGGCTTCAAACTCAGATCCAGCTGCCTCTGTCTCTTGAGTGCTAGGATTAAAGGTGTGCACCACCACTGCCTGAATCTAAAAGGCCTTTTCTTTCTTTCCTTTTTTTTTTTTTTTTTTTTTTGAGACAGGGTCTCTGTGTAGCCCTGGCTGTCCTGGAACTAGCTCTTGTAGACCAGGCTGGCCTCAAACTTACAGTGATCCACCTGCCTCTGCCTCCTAAGTGCATGCCCGACTCTTAAAAAGTCTTTATTTATTTATTTATTTATTTATTTATTAAAGATTTCTGTCTCTTCCCCACCTTAAAAAGTCTTTTAAGGCAGTTAATTCCTGTGAAGTGGGTGCAAACTGCACTATGTGATGCTGAAGTTATTGTTAATAATTTTATTCTGAATTAAAAGATAAAGCTGACTCACCGCGATTGCCATTGTTATAAAAAGCAGTCTTGGGAGTCCATTTTACCATTAGATGTACTTCTTTCTGTCTCTGACAAAAGACGGTCTCAACAGTCTGTTTTTTATTTTATTCATTATTAGAGTGTATTTTGTTTTAGTTTTTTACTATTTTTGTGCTTTGTGTATGCATTGAGTGTGTGAAGCATCTGTGTGAGTGAGACCCATGCAAGTTAGTGTGCAGGTGTACAAGAAGATGGCACACAGTGTCCTCCTCTGTCACTCTCTCCCTTATTCCTTTGCAATAGGGGCTCACAATAAAGCGGGAGCTCATTGTGCTGGCTAGGCTGGCTGGACAGGGAAACCTAAGGCTCCTGTGTTGGAGTCACAGGCATGCACAGCCGCGCCTGGCTTTGTACACAGGTGCTGGAGATTCCATCTCAGTTCCTGCCTGTGCAGCGAGTGCGTTAGCCCACAGATCCTTTTCCTGGAATCATTCTAACCTATAAATTCTTAGAGAGAAGGACTGTGCTATATACATTTTATTTCCCCGACAGCACAGAATCCTCAGTTGGGAACTATCTGATAGCACATTTCAAGATTCCAAAGTGTCAAGAGCTAATTATGGACTGTAACAGTGATGCAATTTCTCCCTCGGCCTTCTTCTGAGAAACAAATACATTTGCTACAAATATCCTGAAGACTGTAGGTGAAAAGTAACTAAGTCAAATGTTGACTGTTAATTTGCTAATGTATACCAAAGATCTAGCAGCCTTGTGCCTTTTGCAGCATTAGCCCTTTAAGACCCAATATCCATACACTTTTGAGAAATGTCTGTCCCCCTGGCTGTATTCCACTCCAACTCAGTGAAACTGAATACGTGGGAAGGAGCACTTACTGATCTTCCTATGGGCGTTCCCAGGTGGGGCAGTGGAGCAGTTGCGATCTTCCGCAGTTTTACCCTTCGAAAGCTGAGGATGAAGGAGGTACAGCACATCAGCAGCAGCTCAGAGCCTCAAAGGCACGGAACACCGCATGTTAAATGGAAAGAAAAAAAAAAAAGCTGGGAGACAAAAATTAAGTCAGAAATCAAACCAAATATCAGCATTAGAGAAATGTCTTTTTAAAAGCCACTGAAAGAGACAAGAAGGCAAAAATGGACAAAGCAAAAATCAAAGCACAAAGCAAACAAAATCTTATCGTTGTCTGCGTACCCATGCTTATCGAAGGACAGGTGATGTACGTACCACCCTGGGGACATTCTCATGCTCAGCTCAGGCTGCCTGCAGAATTCCTGGGTGAGAAGAGACTAAAATCTCCTCACTTTACTCTAAGCATGAGCAATAAGACAAAGATTCTACACCTCTTCACAGAGAACAAGTCTGTAGCCTATAAAAACCTACTTGAAGGTAGAACTAAATTGGAGGTCTGCCTTAAAAGACCCAGTAGGACACCCAGAACCAGGAACTATTGGGCTGCATATGTAGATACGACAGTTTTTTGGAAGAATTACAGAGATGACACTAGAAGGTATATTATACCCTGGCACCATTAAATGGACCTTACAGTGGCTATTGGAAGCCTGGCTTTCATCCTATGAACAAGCCTTTTCCTAGAGCATCTTTATGGTCTACCAGCTTGCAAAAATGCCTAGTTTTTTGTTCTTTTCCTTTGAATTATAGTGCTGATTGGATTATGAACTAGAAGATCCAGGTTTAAACCCTGGCCTTACATTTTAGTTGTAAATCTATGCTAAGATTTCTCAGCTGTAAAACTGAGATGATAGCTATCCTAACTGTTCAAAGAGATGAGTTTTTTTTTTTTTAAAGAGATGATGGATTTGAAAGGGCTGTGTGACCTTTATAGGGTTTTACTGGAGATGATTTTTATTATAACGACATTAAATTTTCACTGGCATATGTCTAAGATAATTCCACTTACCTTAAACAGAATGTATAGTATGTACAAAAAAATTCCAAAGCCGTAGATTGGAATGATCTGGCCCATCAGTCCTCTTCCACCGCCCCCTCCTCCAGCACCTCCGCCTGCTCCCTTGGCCTTTGCAAAGGCCTCTGCAAGGTGGGACCTCTGGAAACGAGCTCCAGGCATCTGCCCATCTGAGGACGCTGAGTGGTGATGCATCATAGGTGGAAATCGGCCCAGTTTTCCTGAGGAAAGTAATTACTCAGCTTTATCTCTTCTATTTTAAATATGGATGTGGCAAAAACATCTTATGCATTGAAGTTAAAATAACAGAAGCATCTCAAACATGTTTAAGGAAAAAATAGAAATTTGATTAGAAAGATAGAAGTATCATACAGATACAAACACATTGTAGTAATCTTAACTTATTCACTAAACACATTTCCTCTTCCTTCTTGGTCCATAGCTAAACTACACTTCCTCCTCCTGTAGAGTTAAATGTGACAGAGTTCTAGTTGAAGGAACTTGGTCAATAAAGCTTCCCATAGGTTCAATTACATGACCATTTCTTTCTGTAGGATGGATGCTAAAGGCCAGGGAGACTTGACAGTCATATGTAGCAAATGGCAGAGCCTCCATTAACCTTGGTTCCTAAATAATTGTCACCCTGCTAACTTAGAGTCACCTGGTCCTGTTTGTATAAGTGAGAAGCGAGCATTTACTGTGTGAGGGCCATTATATACTTTGGAGTCTGTCTGTTACAGTGGCTAGCCACCTCTATCTAATGCAAAAGGAAATGTAATGTATTCTCAGGAGAGAACAGAACCAGAAACTGGAAAGCCATCAGGAGGATCCAGGCAGGCTACTTTCACATTCCAGTTCCAACTCTCTCCTCTCTATGGGACCACAGCCTTTCCCTTTGTTTCTTTGCTCATAACTTCAATCTCTTTCTTCAGATAACTCCTCTAGTTCTTTGTGCCCACAGTAGAAGACAGTCATTCCAAACCTCTTAATTTGCAACTCCTTCAAGAAACTAGCTAAAACAGGCCCTAATTTCAAATTCCTTCGGAGGAAGGCTAAGTGAGTGCTCAGCTTAGGGGGCAAGCACAGCTTTGGATCAGCTATAGCTGAGCAGACAGGATTCAAACAGGAAAAACAGGGCCAAAGGCCTGATCCTGGAAGAGCTTAGAGAAGGGAAGGTTTATAATCCATTTTCTTTCATTTTTTTTAAAACTCCATTAAGAGCAGCCAAAAGATAACACCACAAGCCCAATTGGAGACAAAGAAAGGAAATAGTAAGTCTTCAAAAAGCCACAAGTACAAGTGTTTGAAAACCAGTGTTGGGATAACATTCTAAAGTACAGGACACTAGAGAACAGAAGAACCTCCAAGAAACTCTTAAACACACAAATTTACTATATTTGACTTCAACAAAATTAAGGATTTCTGTACATACAGAAGACCATGAAAAGAATTAGGAGGAATGACATCATGAAAAAGTCTAACATTTCAAATGGAAAAGACTAGATATCTATCATACAGAAGAGCCTGCCACCTAATGACATCACAAGAAATTCACAGCAAAAGGGACCAAAGATATGAATAAGGAACTTACAAAAAGGAACACCTAAGTGGCTGCTAACAGACGAATGAAACTTAAAGTATGACAGTGGCTGGTCAGTGCTGAGTTACCAATACTAACAGGGTATGTGACCAACACACATAGTTACTGAGAAAGGACTTTCTACCAAGCAGGATGGTGGAAATTAGCAAAAGGTGGCCAAGATATGGGAAGGCAAGAATTGTGCACTGAGGTAGGAGTACACACACACACAGTCACCCTGCTAACTTGTGATACTATACATAGGCTGGATGATCTAGTGGTCCCCCCACTGGTAGGTAAATCTGGGAGAAGTGCTCAAATACAGTTATGGATAGGCAGGCTGAATTACTCACTACAGATCTGTGATGGAAAGCTCACTATGACAATGTATCAAGGAGCTTCAAGTAACTAACCTTCATAACTGGAAATAAAAAACTGAAATGGAATTGACACAAATAGCAGAATTACATGTTTTTTGAAACTATATTATAAGTGTCTATAGACAGACATAGTGACACGTACCCATAAACCCAGAACTTGGAATATGAGGCAGGAGGACTGTGGGTAAAACTGGCCTGGGCAACATAGCAAAATCCTGCCTCAAAAGTAGGAAAGGGAACTGAGGATGTATAATAGCTCGTAGGTAAACAGCTGGTCTGCCATACCCAAAGCTCTAAATTGAATCCCCAGCACTGAAACAAGCAAACAAAGGCAGGATAGAAAGAGCAAAGAAAAAAGACAAAAAGGCAAAGGATGCCTCACCACCTCCCAGTCTGCTTTGCCTTTCTTGCTGACTGAGAGTCAAGAATTTTACTGCACTAGCAAAACCACTATGAAGATGGCCTCTCCTAAGATTTCTTAAATAAGAGTGTTAAATCAGCTAATGAGTTAGACATGGTCACACATCCCTGTAATTCCAGGGGAAGTGGAGGCAAGGGATCAGGAAATCAAAACCATCCTTGGGTAAATATTGAGGTGGCTACAAGAGACACTGTCTCAAAAACATATTGTGGTCAGGGGAGGGACACAAAGAGAGATGGATGATAGATAAACTAATGACCATGCTTAGGCCCCAAATTAAGTTTAATTTTTATCACCAGTCATTTCTCATCTTTGAACTGTATTTTTCTGAGAAAATCTTACAAGTGTGGTTTGTGAACCACATTTATAATCAAAACCCATGCCTGGACATACCTCTTACTGTACGGTAAGAGCTACATTTACTTTTTTGACTTCTGTTTTTATCTGAAGTCCTTTCTTATCTTTAAATATGTACCACTTACCTCAGAAGACATCTTTGGATAAAAATCCTTTAAACAAAAAGTCAGGGCTAGGGATGTGGCTCATTTGGCAAAGCAGCCGCCTAGCATGTGCAAGGCTCCAAGGTAAATCCCCAGCACTTTCCCTCAAAAGTATACCAAAATATTTGCACTTAACCTTTTAAACTTAGATAGCAATGATATCATTGTGACTTCAAAAGTCACAAAATCACACCAGAAACAGAGAGAGAGACAGAGAGAGAGACAGAGAGAGAGAGAGAGCGCTAAGGTACTGAAATATGACTCTCTTAAGCCCACACCTACACACTGGTTTTATAGTATCTTTTTTTTAGTAAACTCAATTTTGCTTTATAACAACTCCTCAGCTCCTGAATTCTTTCTTATGACATAAGTAGAACTCCTGGCTGCACCCAATGTGACAGCATCTCTGAGGAACACGTCAGGCTAAACAACAACACAGTAATGCTGCATTGCATTTCTTGCTGTGAATGATACCATGTAAGTTGAACACATAATTTCTTTGCATTCCTTTTTAAGCAAACACAAACACGAAGGTATAAAGGTTTAAAATAAAGACATTAGAGAAGACACATATGACCTGGCTTGGGACCCGGCAGGTAAAGTGCCTGCTTTGCAAACATGAGGACTGGAGTTTGAGTCCCAGAACCTATATTTAAAAGCCAAGCATGGTGCTGTGCATTTGTAATCCTAGTGATGGGGAAGTGGAGACAGGAGAATCCCTGGGACTTCATGGCCAGCCAGCTAAGCCAACTTGGCATGTTCTAGGCCAGTAAAGTACTCAGATAGACAGAGATAGACAGACAGACAGACAGACAGACGGACAGACAGCCCAAGAAAAAATACCTGAGTTTTCCAATGGCCTCCAAATATATCTACATACATGTGCATTCACACTCAAACACATAAATGGGCCTAAAGAGAAAAGAACTTCTGTACTTGTAAAACAGATTTCGAAGTTCTGTGAAGAGAGCTATCTACCTTTAAGTGAACTCTGCCCTTAGGTAGGTAGAAGGGAGGCAAGGAGGTTAACTCATTAGCTACAGGGCATGGAAGCTGCCTTCTGCTTTATATCCTTCCTTATCCATGCTCCCCTCCAGTAATTTTCCTTTCCCTCTCAGTACTGGCTTTGGATGCCATGGAAGCTATGGAGGAAACCCTTTGTTTCAGAGTGGGCCAACCCAAGAATGGTGCCTCACACCTATAATCCTAACAATGGGGAGGCCAAGGCAGAAAAATTGCCATACGTTTGAAGATAGCCTGGATACCAGAGTGAGCTCCAGGCCAACCTGAGCTTTAAAGTGAGACTGTCTCAAAACAATGAGGAAAAAAAAAAAAACCACAATGATAAAAATAAGAGTGGGTCAATGTAGTAGTTTGAGTAAGAATGCCCCGCCACTCCCATGAGCTCATATAAATGAATCTTAGTCAAGAGGGAATGGAACTCTCTGATAGGATTAGAGGAATTAGGAGGTGTGACCAGGCTGAAGGAAGTGGGTCACCAAGGATGGGCTTGAAAAGCCCCTGCCAGACTCAGTCTCACTTTCTGCTATCTGCAGGTCTGGCTGAAGAACCTCAGCTACTCTCCAGCACCATGTCTGCTAGCATGCCACCATGCTCTCTCTCTGTCGAGATAACAATGGACTAAACATCTGAAATTGTAAGGAGCCCCAGTTAAATGCCTTCTTTTATAAGCATTGCATTGCCATGGTCACAGTGTCAAGTGACTAAGACTGTAAACAAGAGAAGCACAAGTTGGGGCAAAGAAACCACTAAGTCACCACCAGCTCTTGTTCTGGGTGCCAGTGACTATGTCTCTTTTAAATGGTCAAGAATCATATTCAGTGATGAATGTTGGCTTTAAGATTATTATGCAACTTTTTTTTTTTTCCAAGACAGGGTGTAATCCTGGAGACCAGGGTGGCCTTGAACTCAGAGATCTGTCTGCCTCTGCCTCCTGAGTGCTGGGATTAAAGGTGTGCACCACCACCACCACCCAATTATGCAATTTTTTAAAAAGTCTAACCACTGAGATTAATCCCTAGAATCCACATATAGATGTAATGGAGATTACTGACCCCATACACTTTTCGTCTGGCCTTTCACACACGCTATGGCATGGGAACCACCCCCACAACTCACTCACTTGTGTTCTCTCTCTCTCTCTCTCTCTCTCTCTCTCTCTCTCTCTCTCTCTCTTTCTCTCTCTCTCACACACACACACACACACCACATCTAAATTTAAAATGATACCAAATACAAAAATGATCTTAAATGTTTCCATTTGTTTGTTATTTCAATAATTTTATGAACTATGTCTGGTTCTTAAAGGTTTGAAAAATAT